GATTCTTACAGGCAACTAAGTGCAGATTCTTACAGGCAACTAAGTGCAGATTCTTGCAGGCAACTAAGTGCAGATTCTTACAGGCAACTAAGTGCAGATTCTTACAGGCAACTAAGTGCAGATTCTTACAGGCAACTAAGTGCAGATTCTTACAGGCAACTAAGTGCAGATTCTTGCAGGCAACTAAGTGCAGATTCTTACTGGCAGCTAAGTGCAGAATCTTACACTGATATAAGTGCAGATTCTTACAGGCAACTAAGTGCAGATTCTTACAGGCAGCTAAGTACAGATTATTACAGGCAGGTAAGTGCAGGTTCCTACAGGCAATTCAGTGCAGATTCTTACAAGTAACTAAGTGCAGATTCTTTTAACCCCTTCACACTTGAGGCGGAATGAGACGGAGTGCTGTCGGAATGAAAAATTCGAACTGCATTCTAAAACTTACTACTGCATTCCGAATGCATTCCAGCTATTCGTATCAATTCTTGTAACATGCCCGAATGTTTTGAACATGTTCCTTGGAGGTACATTTGAAGTGGAAAAATATCAAGCGGCATTTATTTCAAGTACATTCTAACTGCATTCTAAGTATTCTTACTGCATTCTAAGTATCCGGAACGGAATGGAAAGAGAATGGAAAGGGCACATCTCTTGATATCCTGTCTGATTGTCCCGAATGTGCCTCGAATGAGTCGGACTGTATCTCGATTGCTGCTGGAATTCAGGTGGAATATTCTTCAAATGTATCGGAATATTTCGGTTGCAGTTCGAATACAGCACGAATGTACATCGACTACACCTCGAATACAATCGGAACGTCCCCGAATGCTCTTCAAATGAGCCCTGACGTCATCAGAACACCGCCGAATCGCATAAAAACGTGGCCACCTGTCGAACCGTCAGATAGCATTTGGGAGTCGCCATTAAAAGGAGTCTGGCGTAATGGCCATACAGCCTCCTCTCCTCTGTCAGCCATGGTCTGGTCTGGAATCTCCCGGGTCTTCTCCTGTTTCTTCTCCTGGCCTCCTCCACATCTCTTTTAATCAGGTCTTGCTGGAGGACAGCCATCTGGAGCAACACAACATGATCCAGGGTTCCATAGAACAGAGACTGGACAGAGACTGATGAATGGTTTAGAATCTACAGGTTTTATACCCCATCGTGGAACATTCCGGCAGCATTATTGATGCATTCCGGACATTCGCGTTACATTCTAAGTGCGTTTGAAAGACATTTGTAATATTCGAGCTGCATTCTGTTTTAATTCTTTAACATTCGATCCATATTCGGGGGGCAATCCCAAGGGGGTACTTAATGCATTCTATGTAAATTCGTACAGCATTCGAGGTACTTTCCAACTGAAATTCGAATGCTATTCACGCAGCAATCGAACCGGACTCATGCGGCAGTCGAAATATTTTCGAAATATTCTGAGTATTCTAAAGGCATTCTTAATATTCCTACTGTATTCCGATTCATTTGAGCTGCATTTGAGGTCTATTACACTCGGACTGAACAAGAATCATTCGAGGCGGGTTCTTTGTGCATTCCAGCGGCATTCTTAATAAGCTTGAACAAAATGGTATATTTTGACAATCTCTCCCGAATGCGGTTCGAAGTTTGGAAATAATCTGGCTGATTCTCCTTGATTCATGTCAAATTCGAAATAAGTGTAAAGGAGTATTTACAGGCAACTAAGTGCAGATTCTTACAGGCAACTAAGTGCAGATTCGTACAGGCAACTAAGTGCAGATTCTTACAGGCAACTAAGTCCGCATTCTTGTAGGCAACTAGGTGCACTTTCGTACAGGCCTTTAAGTGCAAATACTAACAGGTAATAAATCTGTACATCACGGCTGCAGGTAGTACAGTTGTACAGATTTATTACCATCCGATTACATACAGACATGATATACACTAAACGCCAAAAGAAACGTTACCCTCCTTCCTTAATGACGGTGGTACCTATCTCCAGCTGGCGTTGTGATGCATGGACGTCCACTTCTTGGTCTCTCTACGGTTACCCATGTCTGTCTGAAGCCTTATAACCGTGATACGGTGGCATCCGAGGGCGTTGGCAACAGCATTGTACGTCGACCCCATCTGCACCATCCCAATGGCGCTTTTCTCTCTTCAACTGTTAATCGTGGCATATTTCTTGTACTTGTGTATCATATCATGTATTCTAGGCTCTCTTCATACCCTATAGAATCATTCTACATGTGAAATGGATGCAAATACTGCTTGAATATTGCTGCGTTTTGGCGATTGATATTGCTATGTGTAAACAGAAAATGCAAAAATGTTACTTTGCAAGCAAAAATGTTAACAAAGATAATTTAAGATGTTCCTAAACATTTTTTTCACAATATCAAAGACACGTTTTACTTGTTTTCGCTAATTTTAAAGACTGAAATCATAGGAATGATTATTTTACAATTTTACACATTCTACAACAATTGTTTCTTGTAGTAATAGGTGAAAAATGGTGGCTTTAAATGTTTTATCTTTGTCTCAAAGCAGAATTTTGTTTCAGCCTTTCTTTTGGACATCAAAATTACTGTTATTGGTTTATTTCGGCATGGACGAATATAGGACAATGTACCTCTTCTGAAAAAGATGCATTTCACCTAAATATGAAAGCATTTGAGATTTATTTGGTGTGATTTGCATAAAGCTGTGTTGTTAAGCTTTCTTGTATACTAAAACCTTCTAACGTATCTTTGATAGTTTTTCAGTAATTCATAAAAGTAGAAGGGTAATTTTATGGCTGTCGAGCCGTTATAATACGGTAATATGGTATTGTATGCCATATGTCGGCTGTCGAGCCGTTATAATACTGTAATACTGGAAAGTATACCATATGTCGGCTGTCGAGCCTTTATAATACGGTAATGTTGGAATGTATACCATATGTTGGCTGTCGAGCTGTTATAATACGGTAATGTTGGAATGTATACCATATGTTGGCTGTCGAGCCCTTATAATACTGTAATACTGGAATGTATACCATAGGTCGGCTGTCGAGCCTTTATAATACTGTAATACTGGTATGTATACCATATGTCGGCTGTCCAGCTGTTATAATACGGTAATGTTGGAATGTATACCATATGTTGGCTGTCGAGCTGTTATAATACGATGATTTTGGAATGTCGAGCGGTTATACTACGGTAATATGAGAATAATGTATTGGTGGTTATGATATTGTCCATTGAATACCTCCTGTGTTTTGATGACAGAAATTGTCAGCATACTGTATATTATGAATCTCAGGTGTATGCTTGAATGTTGTGTAAATAATGCTTATATTTATGTAATTTATGCTGCTGTTGTCAGTTGTGCATATGCTCACATCAACCTACATAAACGTATCGCTGGATTGCAGCTATGTCCATGTTTAAGGTTAACGATACTGTAAACCCTCCAGTTTTTGGTGCTGCTGCTGCATTCGTTGAGGGAACACGGTTCCAGAGTTTTTTCTCTACGGGAGTTGTTATCTCTGGTTTACGTGTCGGGCTTCAGCATGCATTTCGTTATTCACGTATCATATTGTTGAATGTAGGTTTTGTGATGAAACAATGTAAATAAATTGGCTGCGGAACGCACGTCGGTTCCTGTTGTTCAGTGTGTGCTTGTTGTGTTTTATGTACACGGGAATGGGGGCGACTAGGAGAAACGTTCTTTTGGCGATTAGTGTATATCTGTGATATCATATGACTACCTACAGCTGTGACGTATTGGTGCGATATCATCTGACTACCTAGAGCCGTGATGTATAACTGTGATATCATCTGACAACATGTAGACGTGGTGTAAAAGTATGACATCATCAGACTACATATAGCCTAACTACATAGTCATATTGTATATCTGTGATATCATCTGACTACACACAGCCACGATGTACAGCTGTGATATCATCTGACTACACACAGCCATGATGTACAGCTGTTACGTAATCTGACTACACACTGCTGTGATGTATAACTGTGATATCATCTGACTACACACAGCCATGATGTACAGCTGTGATATCATCTGGCTACACACTGTTGTGATGTATAACTGTGATATCCTCTGACACCTTGCTTCATTTGATGTAGGTCGTGTGGTTGCCTCCAGGTCGTGTGGTATGTCACTGTATTGTACTGACTATATACCCACCACCTTCGTGTAGCAGCAATATAAGAGCGATGTTTGACAACAAACAGGGGCGTAGCTACCATTGTCAAAACAAAGCCCGGGCTTACACATGATTGTTGCTGAATTGGGCAAGCCTTGAATACTCTCTAAATATAAAGCTTTGCAACCTATCGGGCTTACACGAAAAAAATGGCTTGCTACGCGCCTGACAAACAGAAACAAATCGTTTAGGTGTACGTTGGTGAGGATTTTACGGTCGCTTCTTCACGTATCCGTGTTATTATTTAAACATTTATACACAATGTTGGGGGTTGGGGTGGGGAGTGTTTATTTTCCTTTCGTTTCGCTTTCAGCTCTCGTTTCGTTATTTCAGCATACAATAAGATTCGCTCTAATAAGACATCTCGCTAGTAGACATATGATGCAATTTCAGTGGAACTTTTACCTCGAAATCTTGACCTAAAACAGAGACCAAATACTGAAACAAAAATATCATGATCGGTACTTCACAAACAAAAGTTCCAGCTGCTGATCTATCATCTGCACCAAAATAACTTCCTAGACAAGCTGTATATTTGAAGTGAATCTATTTTTCGTGGAACTTTTAAAACTCGTATCGGCTGAGGGATATCCGGTGTATCAAACCCCCAAACAGCAATTTATGCTAAGATCCTGGTAACTTGGTCATTTAATTACATTTATTGTTTAGAATTAGATATATATTTATATATATTTGGAATCGTAATGATCGGCGGAATGACACTTACGACATTGGTTAAGCCAAGCAATATTTATGTGGTTGTTTTATCTGGATACAAGTTACCTCCCCTAATTATAGATAGAGGGCGCTGTTACTTCCCGCTTGCATTCAAACGATTTGCTATTGTTTACATTTTGTCGCTTCATCGTACCCTTTTTTGCCAAACAAACGGGTCCATTAACCTTCACAATGGCTATGTCAATATACGACTATGTTCGCTTAGCAGCCCTGATTGTCATCGTCATTGTTTTAGCAACCCAAAAGGCGAAAACCTACATACTTGCCGACGCAGTTATCACTCTCACAACCGGAGTAGGGTCAATTTGGGGGTTTTCGCAACTGACGTACGAATCTGAGGTGAGAATTTCTTGGAGATTGAGTGGGGTCACAGATAATGTTTGATGAAGAGTCACCACTAAATTGTTAACGAAACAGTTCTGAATAACAGTGAATATAAAGTGCAGACCCGTATACAGGTTTGGGAAACCTACCGATCGGCCTATAAAGTATAAAAGGCCAAACGGGATATTATAGGCCATTCTGCCTATTTTGCTATAGGCCGATCAGGCTATATTTGACCATTATTATTAACATTTCACAAATTATCAATTTCCGCACGAAATGGTTTTATTAGATCACAGAGATGAATAGTTAATGGACCTGCTCAGCTTGAAAAAAAAATAAGTTTATATAATGTTCAGGAAAAGATGTTTCATTTAAGAACACAGATTTTCATTTTGACTAAAACTGAATATTTATGTCATTAATTTTCAGTGAAAATTGTCAAATATATTATAGTCTTATATTTAATTAGATCTAGCAATTTCCAAACTCCTTTAATATTCTGTGATGAAAATGCTCAAAAAGGGTTTGAATAAAAACCTTAGGACATCAAAACTTGAATGATGTTAATATCCTCATGCGGAAAGGCACCACTTCAAATTTATTTGATAAATGTCATAATTATAGGCCAATAGCAAAATAGGCGGAACGGCCTATTATATCCCGTTTGGACTATTATAGGCATATCAGTAGGTTTCCCCAACCTGGTATACAGACCCCATGAAACACAGACGAAACAATAACTGGAAACAACACTGCTCTATTCAAAGACAGGTGTAAAACTATGCAGTAAATTATAATATGTATTAATACTGTAATTTGTATGTCTGTACATATGTCTGCATGTGCACTGTCACCATGAACATACTTTGTATGTATCTGTTGACGGAAGCACCGTCACCGTCAATGTTTGTAGTTCGAGCAGTGTCGCCATGACTGTATCTAACAGAAGCACTGTAAGAGTACTTTGTACAAGGTTTTATGCGATGCGTAAATGTGTGGGTAAGAGTTCCGCCTGTAGTGGTTAGCATGCTGGCCTTTCACACCAAAGGCCTGGGTTCGAATCCCGGTGGAGACACCAAAATTTGTGACCTGGTCACATACTGTGCTGTGTCCATGGGCAAGGCACTTCATCCACATTGCACTCAGTCCACCCAGCTGTTCAAAATGGGTACCTGGGAGGCGGATGTACGGACCTATACGGTCGCGCAAACGCTTAGTAGCGGCTTTGGAAGTACAATTCCGTCAGGGTAATAATGTAACGCCAGAGAACAGCGTCATGTTGGATTCTAGGTGCAAAATTAGCATTATTATTATTATTTCTAGGGGTTATGGTTTGGTTTTAGGGTTTAGATTTAGCATTATGTTAGGGTTAGCTTTCTATTAAAAACATACTTCTTATGCATAGAATGATAAAAAACAGACGGGTTACAAGCGGAAATCTTTCCTTTGACTTAAATCTATGGCCCTTTTGACTTTTTCAATTATGGCCCTTTTGTCCTTTGGCCCTTTTGACTGCAACCCGAATGTATGTAACAGAAGCACTGTCACAGTAAATGTATATTTCAGCAGTAATGCTGTCACAGTGAATGTACATAACAGAAGCTCTGTCACCATGAATAATGTATTTGCTTCAGACAACCCTAACCTATGATGGCCTCCATGTCCTCATTAATCAGACTCTCATCAGCTTCGTGCTGATGCCAGCTTTGTTCTACCTGTTCTTTGCTCGCTCTGCCAAAGATGACGACGCAGCACAGGGCCTCCTTGCCACCCGAACTCTTGTGAGTAGCTCAAAATGTCTTGTGTGTTGTTTCACTGAGTTGATTGTTTCATTCACAAGTTTATCACCTTATCTAATCTATGTCATGTTTCTAAAACAAGAATTGACATTTGACACAGTATTAATCTTGTCAAGAAACAAGAAACAGATCATTGTTATTGCTTTAATGTTGCAGATTAGGACTAATAAGAGGTTCTAAAGTTCAAAACTGGCTCCTCATAGACTCTTTAACAGGTGTTGTTTCAAACAATGCTTATCATCGTCAAATACTTTAGCAACAGATCTCGAGGACCCTTTGACCCAATTTGATTTGAGCCCTGTTTATGTCATGATGTTGCTTGACTTGTCTCATTTACAGATGATTGGTCTTGCTACCTTCATCATCGCCTTCAACCAGTGGAGAAACCCTCGGATCTTCAAGGACACAGTTAGTATGCACTAGGGGAGTGATGGATACGGGTGGCTATAGGGTAGAGGGAATATATCAGTCACAGAGTGATATATACATTATAATCCATTGGTGTCTTATTTGTCATATATTTAATTGTCACATCACAGTGTAGAGTAGTCATGGTGTGTTGAATCTAACCCAGCAATATTCCAGCTATTTGTTCCTCCTGAACACAACCCAACACAGTTAACCCTTAAACCACAGTCAGTCCTACTTCAGACAATATCTACAGTGAATATGCTTGATGTGACTCCATATCTGTCTATTTCAATAACTGTTGAGACATTGAGTCTAGTATTTACATCCAAACTAAATAACCGCACAGATTAAATACCAAACCAGTCTGTGCCTGTATGGACTATAAGCCTAAACACAGCCCTGAGTATCATGGAATTAGTGTTTTCATATGGACTGTTATAGTGGGCGTACTAGGACAAGGAATATTTTACGAGATAAGTGATGATATTTGCAGACTGTCAAATGTATGAAATACAAATATACTTAAAGTACTGTCTGAAATAGAAAAAAGCTGTTTTTTTCACATTTATATCTACAATTTAGGTAGTTAATATGTGAAAGTGAAATATCTGTAAAACTAAGTTCGGCCTAACTACAGTCGCAGTGGGAGGGAGATAGGAAACGTAAAAGAAGGATTTTACTGAGGAGAGATTAGTGCAGAAATAAGCAATGCAGATTTTTTCTAAGTCCAATACGACTTATTCAGAACAGACCATGGCTTTATTGAAATTAATGTGTGATGATATTGTATTACAAAGGACACTTTTTAAATGACCATTTTGAAATTAGACTTAGCTTCGTTGTAAATGATAGCAGACATAAAAAATAATACCTTTGATACTGAAACTATTAAGGATGTAGCTACCATGGCTTCTCAATATCACTATAAAAAGGGAGGAGGGGTCGTCTCAAAAGCAAAACCAGGACGGGTGTCGCAGGCGGTGGTTGGGGTCGGGCTGGGGAACTGAGATATTAGCTAAGATAAGATAATCAATAGAGACATATTCAATACAAATGAAAAAACATAAAATATCTTTGAGATGACCCCTTGTACCTGTGGGCAGCACATGCATTTAATGCCATGTGAGTCGACAGTCTGTCGTCATACCTGGCTGAGTGACCTAATTGCCATCTATGGTCTGATCTATTGTTTTCAGCAGCTAATTATATTTTTTCCTATTTTTAGTTTTGTCCGATTTTACGAGTAAACATGCTTTTCTAAATATCCTATTATGCATCCCCCTGAACGCCCAGTTAGGTGGATGTGGGTTATTTTGACATATGCTATTTGCAATTGTGTAAAATTTAGTGATACAGACTAGCAGCCTAAAAACAGGTTTTTTTCTATTTCCCGACAGTACTCTAGTAGACAATATCATACAACATACAGACAACATGTGTTCGATAACATCTGACTCTAGTAGCATCAGTAGGTTCATCATAACCATTCATAGGTAATTATGTTTTATCCTGTGATCATCACTGAAATGACTGCAGCTCACCAAGTCTAAGAGTTTACGTACTAAAAAGTTCATTATTTAATAGATGATCACCTCATATGTTCTTGAATGACACTGACTACACAACCACACTCTCCACACAACCACACTCTCCACACAACCACACTACACCCTCTATTGTTCCAGCATGTTTCTGTCCGACTGTCTTCTACTGTGCTGTGGTTCTGTCTGGCGGCATATGTTCTGTACCGGAGCGGCATCGCTCCCCCAAGACGTGGCCGTGTCTCCCCCATCAACCTGTACATCAAGATCGATATCGTCATTGCTGCCCTGTACGGCCTCTTTGACCTCCTGTTTGCACGCTTTGCTGGCAGTTTGATAGTGAGTACAACATAAACAATTTGGTTATTTCCCAAGTTCTATTCACTTGGTGTCAGGATTAGTAATTTGGAAATCCATATATCTGAGGATTTCTTTTCAAAGCTCAAAGAGAGTCGCGTTTAAGGGTTGCATAGAGAATAACGTTATGTCTCTGAAAATAGATAAGTTAGACTGAACCAAGCAAGTACATACAATTTGAGGGCAGGAGATTCAGAACCTGTGGAAATACTAGACTTATTATGGTGAGGTCTGCACGGGAAGGGAACATGATATGGTACAGGATATTAGAGACAGCCGAGATGCAGCAGACTGACTGAGTTTGGTTTTACGCCGCTTTTAGCAATATTCCAGCAACATCACGACGGGGACACCAGAAATGGGCTTCACACATTGTACCCATGTGGGGATTCGAACCCGGGTCTTCGGTGTGACGAGCCAACGCTTTAACAACTAGGCTACCCCACAGCCCCCAAGATGCAGCAGAAAATATATGATTGAAACAGTGACACAACTGAATGTTCTAGTCCTGCTCACATGAGAGAAGGTTTGTTACACCAGCTGTATGTAGGGAAAAGCAGAAGAAAGTTTCCCGTTATCGGAATCATGCATGTACATGTAAGACCTAGGAGTAGACAATGTGAGTTCCTTAGTTCCAAGTGGTGGTCCAGGTTACAGGTGATCCTGTGCTTGTGGGAAGTGTTGTGGGTGGTCAGACTCTCAGTCTTTTGTTTGCTCAGTGCTCATAGTATCAATCCCTTAATCACATGGTTACTAGGATTAATGGGGTGTATCATACATTTAACACATGGTTACTAAGAGTAACAGGGGGTATCATACATATAACACATGGTTACTAAGAGTAACAGGGTGTATCATACATTTAACACATGGTTACTAGGAGTAACGGGGGGTATCATACATATAACACACAGTTACTAGGAGTAACGGGGGGTATCATACATTTAACACATGGTTACTAGGAGTAACAGGGTGTATCATACATATAACACACAGTTACTAGGAGTAACGGGGGGTATCATACATTTAACACATGGTTACTAGGAGTAACAGGGGGTATCATACATTTAACACATAGTTACTAGGAGTAACGGGGGGTATCATACATATAACACATGGTTACTAAGAGTAACAGGGTGTATCATACATTTAACACATGGTTACTAGGAGTAACGGGGTGTATCATACATATAACACATGGTTACTGGGAGTAACGGGGTGTATCATACATTTAACACATGGTTACTAGGAGTAACAGGGTGTATCATACATATAACACATGGTTACTAGGAGTAACAGGGTGTATCATACATACATTACTAGGAGTAACAGGGTGTATCATACATATAACATGGTTACTAGGAGTAACAGGGTGTATCATACATTTAACACATGGTTACTAGGAGTAACAGGGTGTATCATACATATAACACATGGTTACTAGGAGTAACAGGGTGTATCATACATATGGTTACTAGGAGTAACAGGGTGTATCATACATTTAACACATGGTTACATGGTTACTAGGAGTAACAGGGTGTATCATACATTTACATTTAACACATGGTTACTAGGAGTAACAGGGTGTATCATACATATAACATACATTTAACACATGGTTACTAGGAGTAACAGGGTGTATCATACATACTAGGTGTAACACACAGTTACTAGGAGTAACGGGGTGTATCATACATTTAACACATGGTTACTAGGAGTAACAGGGTGTATCATACATATAACACATGGTTACTAGGAGTAACGGGGTGTATCATACATATAACACATGGTTACTAGGAGTAACATTTAACACATAGTTATACATATCACACACATGGTTACTAGGGAGTAACAGGGTGTATCATACATTTAACACATGGTTACTAGGAGTAACGGGGTGTATCATACATATAACACATGGTTACTAGGAGTAACGGGGTGTATCATACATATAACACATGGTTACTAGGAGTAACAGGGTGTATCATACATATAACACATGGTTACTAGGAGTAACAGGGTGTATCATACATTTAACACATGGTTACTAGGAGTAACAGGGGTGTATCATACATTTAACACATGGTTACTAGGAGTAACAGGGTGTATCATACATATAACACATGGTTACTAGGAGTAACAGGGTGTATCATACATTTAACACATGGTTACTAGGAGTAACGGGGTGTATCATACATTTAACACATGGTTAACTGTATCAGGAACACGCGTTACTAGGAGTAACAGGGTGTATCATACATTTAACACATGGTTACTAGGAGTAACAGGGTGTATCATACATAGGTTACTAGGAGTAACAAGGGTGTATCATATTTAACACATGGTTACTAGGAGTAACAGGGTGTATCATACATATAACACATGGTTACTAGGAGTAACGGGGTGTATCATACATTTAACACATGGTTACTGGGAGTAACAGGGTGTATCATACATTTAACACATGGTTACTAGGAGTAACAGGGTGTATCATACATATAACACATGGTTACTAGGAGTAACAGGGTGTATCATACATATAACACATGGTTACTACACATGGTTACTAGGAGTAACAGGGTGTATCATACATTTAACACATGGTTACTAGGAGTAACAGGGTGTATCATACATTTAACACATGGTTACTAGGAGTAACAGGGTGTATCATACATATAACACATGGTTACTAGGAGTAACAGGGGTGTATCATACATATAACACATGGTTACTAGGAGTAACAGGGGTGTATCATACATATAACACATGGTTACTAGGAGTAACAGGGTGTATCATACATTTAACACATGGTTACTAGGAGTAACAGGGTGTATCATACATATAACACATGGTTACTAGGAGTAACAGGGTGTATCATACATTTAACACATGGTTACTAGGAGTAACAGGGTGTATCATACATTTAACACATGGTTACTAGAAGTAACAGGGTGTATCATACATATAACACATGGTTACTAGGAGTAACAGGGTGTATGTGTATCATACATTTAACACATGGTTACTAGTAACAGAGTGTATCATAGGTATAACACATTTAACACATGGTTACTAGGAGTAACGGGTATCATACATTTAACACATGGTTACTAGGAGTAACAGGGTGTATCATACATTATAACACATGGTTACTAGGAGTAACAGGGTGTATCATACATTTAACACATGGTTACTAAGTAACAGGGTGTATCATGGTTACTAGGAGTAACAGGGTGTATCATACATTTAACACATGGTTACTAGGAGTAACAGGGTGTGTATCATACATATAACACATGGTTACTAGGAGTAACAGGGGTGTATCATACATATAACACATGGTTACTAGGGGTGTAGTAACAGGGTGTATCATACATTTAACACATGGTTACTAGGAGGGTAACACATGGTTACTAGTGTATCATACATTTAACACATGGTTACTAGGAGTAACAGGGTGTATCATACATTTAACACATGGTTACTAGGAGTAACAGGGCGTATCATACATTTAACACATGGTTACTAGGAGTAACGGGGTGTATCATACATATAACACATGGTTACTAGGAGTAACAGGGTGTATCATACATATAACACATGGTTACTAGGAGTAACAGGGTGTATCATACATTTAACACATGGTTACTAGGAGTAACAGGGTGTATCATACATTTAACACATGGTTACTAGGAGTAACGGGGTGTATCATACATATAACACATGGTTACTAGGAGTAACGGGGTGTATCATACATTTAACACATGGTTACTAGGAGTAACAGGGTGTATCATACATATAACACATGGTTACTAGGAGTAACGGGGTGTATCATACATATAACACATGGTTACTAGGAGTAACGGGGTGTATCTATCATACATTTAACATAACATGGGGTTACTAGGAGTAACAGGGTGTATCATACATTTAACACATGGTTACTAGGAGTAACAGGGTGTATCATTTAACACATGGTTACTACTGTATCATACATATAACACATGGTTACTAGGAGTAACAGGGTGGTTACTAGGAGTAACATATACATTTAACACATGGTTACTAGGAGTAACAGGGTGTATCATACATATAACACATGGTTACATAGGTTACTACAGGGGTGTATCATACATATAACACATGGTTACTAGGAGTAACAGGGTGTATCATACATTTAACACATGGTTACTAGGAGTAACAGGGTGTATCATACACATAACACATGGTTACTAGGAGTAACAGGGTGTATCATACATTTAACACATGGTTACTAGGAGTAACGGGGTGTATCATACATACATTTAACATATAACACATTTACACATGGTTACTAGGAGTAACAGGGTGTATCATACATTTAACACATGGTTACTAGGAGTAACGAGGTGTATCATACACATAACACATGGTTACTAGGAGTAACGGGGTGTATCATACATTTAACACATGGTTACTAGGAGTAACGGGGTGTATCATACACATAACACATGGTTACTAGGAGTAGTGGGGTGTATCATACACATAACACATGCTCTCATGTCTCCAGTCGGCACGGTTTGACCTCCTCCATGAGCATCTAACGACCTTGGAGGGTGCAGCCAATCTATCCACTGCTGTGTTGGGAGTCTACGCCCTCGGTTTCCGCAACATCGCAGAGAGGAAGGGCTACCTATGCTGTCGTCTCACAGTAAGTCTACTGTCTACAGTATATTTATATATTTTGTGTCTCCCAGTACCATACCACTGTCTACAGTATATGTACGAGGTGTGCCCCAGTTCAGTAGAATGAGGTAGCAGTTCTACAGTCTTGTAATGGTGTTTGTGGATATGTAGAACAGGCAAAGCCAGGTCGCCTGTTTGTTGGAGTGTTTGGCCCCACTGTTTCGGCATGTTTTGGCTACATTTTATTGTACCTGCACAAATCACCCCCAATGCTTGGAGACATGTGAAATTCATACTTAGAATTCATTTTGTATGCATATCAGCAAAACTGTCAGATGTTTGCAGTATTTCTACTTCTGTGTTTCTTTTGCTGCAGAGTATATATTGAAATATTGGAAACTTGTTGACAACAATACACAACAAACGTATGCCTTAATTGTGTTCTTCTCTTACCATGCTTACAGTTTATCGGTCTTTCTCGTCATTTAAAAGAAAGAAAGTTGAATAAATAAAAGTATTTTCTATCTTACCTCTTCTCAGTGTTGTAGTTCCTCTGGCAAAGTAGCTACCATATTTTTGGCTGGACTGAAGTAACATACATGTTGTGTGTGCCTGTTTATAAGGTTGATTGTTTCCCCTGTAGGTCCTGCTGTTGACGTCTTGCTGCCTGGCTTGTGGACTGTACAACAAGAAGCTTACCCTCACGGGGGTCCGACATTGGAGTGTTTGCATTAGGCCTCATCCCGGTCATTCCAGCGGTCACTGGCCTTGTACTGACCGGTGACAAGAGGATCTTCACCTCATCTACCTCAACTGGCTACAACCTCCGCGCGGGACTAACACATCCTTGGCCTGATCCTGGCACTGTTTCTCAGACACTGGTCATTAACTAATGATAATTGTTCTAAGCTGGCTCTGTGCCTGTTGGCCACGGTAACACTGCATGGTGTTTTCTTGGTCAGATTCCTAATTCACTGCTTTGAAGAACCATTTCTGGTGTAGTATGACAAGACTTACACAGTCCTTCAGTCATAAGTAAATTATCCCCAAAGTTTGTTTATTATGTAAGACAGCTTGCAACTGACCAGGATTAGACATTAGTTGGAACTATCACTAGTGTGTGATCTGCTGCCAGGCGGTTGTAATCCTGATAGTGGAACCCCACAAGGAGATGTCGCTTGTCCTTGTTATTTACCAGGCTTGGTCTAGTTTACTTACTAGGGTTAAGTAAGATTATATTCGCTTATAATTATTGTTTTGATATCAAGGCCTGCTATTCACACTACTTTTCTTACCACTGTTGGGAACTAGTATGTCATATTGACTGAGCAGCTGTCAAGAGACCGGCATGAAATGTCTGGTCAGCTCTATAGGTGCAAGGTTTTGTTTCACAGTTCTCCCAGGTAGTGCTATTACTGTTCACAGTGCAGGATCATCATGTGGTTGTCGTAGTTCACTTACTCAGTAGTCAGAATGTGTACCATCATTTAGTTTTAATTTTTTTTTAGGATTTGTATTGTTATGGATAATTTTTATATACTTATTTTGTGCTGTTGTTTAACATAAACTCTCTGTACACAACGTAAGAGAGCACGTCATCACACTCAGCGTGGCCATATGGTCTTTGTTTCTTTACCATGGTAGTTACATAGTTTTGTCACTGATATTTGTTGTTACTTGTTACCTCTCTGTCACATTTTAAAACATCTTGTTTTACTGCCCTGAATCTCAAAACACAATGTTATTTAAAGACTCTATTTAGTCATCAACACATCATCATCATCATCATCATAGCAGTGTGTTTTCACACTTGGTTGTTTAATTTTGTTTTAACAGTTTTCATTTACTCTAATTGTTGTCAATTTTAATAGACTGTTCCAGTGATTGAATCTCAAATATGACTTCAATAAGATATCTTTCTACACAGGATATCATGGAGTACATTGATCATGAGAAACATCAGCATAGTCACAGCAATGTGTTTTCACTCTTTGTTTCTTTGCTTTGTAATTTGAAGAGCGTTGTTTTTAAGTATATTGTTCCTCACGGTAATGTGACTTGTTGGACAGGTTCTAATGGTTTGACAGATGCTGAACTTTACAAACAGGCGGCAGAACAAACATAAGAATAAATCATGAGGAGTCACTGAAGGATAGAAACCTCCAATCAAAACAACGAATTTTAACGTAAATTATAAACAAAATAATATTCAAAATAAGCATATTACCAATTTTTTTTATACTGTTTTTAAGACTGCTCATCCTCATTTAAACAATTAGTATGGTGAAAAGAGATTCCAGAGATTATCGCACATTCTAACAATGTAGCTGAAACTGGTTCTCACTGCAAAGTCTCTGGTACACCAGGGGCGGTAGGGTAGCCTAGTGGTTAAAGTGTTTGCTCTTCACTCTGAAGACACGGGTTCGAGTCCCCACATGGGTACAATGTGTGAAGCCCATTTCTGGTGTCCCCTGCCGTGATATTGCTGGAATATTACTAAATGCGGCGTAAAACTAAACTCAGTCATTCTTGTACATCACTGACACACCACCGTAGTTTGCTGCTTGTCTTGGTGGTAGTTCTAGCAGTCAGTAATTTGTTACAGTTGTGACACTGGACATTTATCTGTCTGGCAGGGGCTTATCAGCATGTACTCAGTCAGGGACCAAGTGGCAATAAACATTACAACTCTGGAATAAAGAATGCAAAGTCATTTTATAGTGGTATATAGCTAATGCGATGTCTTCAAAGATGTGACTTGTATTCAACTGACAGGACCAGTAAGTAGGCGAGTGTTATGTTTAGGTATATATGTTACTGTATTGAATGCAGTGTTACTGTAACGTTATATTCAACAACACTGAACTATTTTAAAATCCCATTTCTAAACATTATTACTTTATTCTCAGTTTGCTTACCGAAGTCTGCTAGATACAGCCTAGATTTGTAGACGATAGATGGTAATGATTTTAGTGGAGGCCTTAGAGTACATGTGAACATACTACCAATGCTGGTGCCTCATAGCAAACCTTTGTTAGCAGAAAATGAATAAACATACAATGCACAAAGTCATAATTTATCTTGTTTTACCATCTTTCACTGCTTGTCTGTACTTTGTTTTCATTCTTGAAGTAGCTTGGCTCCAGTGTTTTCCTCTTTGAAACTTGTTGGTTGCTCCCCATGTGGTACACGGCATGTGCTACCCAAAACAACACCACATTCTCTCACGATGTAGGAGTTAATTGGTCATGCCATTTCACTTACCAGAATGACCTTGTTCTTTAACTATTTTCGAGTGATCATAAAATCTACTGAGTAATGTGCCGTGATGCTTGACTACTCCATGTTGCAGTGGACACAGCATCTGTTTGAAGAGGAATGTTGGTGGTTCGAACCCCTCCTACCAAAACACTGTAGAAGATGGTGCCTGTCTCCTGACTACCTCCATGTTGCAGTGGACACAGCATCTGTTTGAAGAGGAATGTTGGTGGTTCGAACCCCTCCTACCAAAACACTGTAGAAGATGGTACCTGTCTCCTGACTACCTCCATGTTGCAGTGGACACAGCATCTGTTTGAAGAGGAATGGTGGTGGTTCGAACGCCTCCTACCAAAACACTGTAGAAGATGGTACCTGTCTCCTGACTACCTCCATGTTGCAGTGGACACAGCATCTGTTTGAAGAGGAATGTTGGTGGTTCGAACGCCTCCTACCAAAACACTGTAGAAGATGGTACCTGTCTCCTGACTACCTTCATGTTGCAGTGGACATAGCATCTGTTTGAAGAGGAATGGTGGTGGTTCGAACCCCTCCTACCTGTATGGTACCTGTTTCCTGACTGGTGCAGGGTAGCTTCAGGATAAAACCAGAAGGGCATCCATGGTAAACTGTGTGGCATGTCCTTCGCCCTAGCAGTATTACTCCCAACTTGACCTCAGAGTAGTTAATCCCCGACCGCGCCATACCAAAAGACGTTAAAATATGGTACTTGTTGGTCCCTGCCTAGCGCTCGGCATTAATGGGTACAACAAGGACTGGTCGGCTCGGAGTCAGTATAATGTGTCTGAGTGTGGTATTCATGCTTCACTGTGGCATGGTATCTCAGTGGGCTAGCACTATAAAACCAGCTTCAGTCTGGGCTAGTACAAGCAGCCGCACATACACATACACACGCATGCACGTCGTCATATGAGCGAAATATTCTCAAGTACGACATTAAACCCAGTTTCACCTCACCTCACCTCAGAGGAGTTAATTAAGCCTTTGCTACATCAAAAGCGAAGTGGGGAGAATATTTTCCCCAACAATAGGTCTTTCTACAAATGTGGTGGAAACATGGGTAGCTCATTTTAACAAGGCAAGAAAGTCCTGGCTTGTTTGAGAGTTGAGTTCACTACAGGCCACACAGGTGGCACATTCCAGCACAAAGTTTAAAGAGGGCTGCATCCTTTCGACATTCAGGACAGGTATGGATGAGGGAGGCTCTTGGCATTTCCATGTAACAATAAAAATCCTTCATCGATTCTGACATCCAAACAATGTATTATCATGTAGATCTGATATAAAGTCGTTTCCCTCAAAAGTGATAGGAGGGTCACCGGGTGTACACACGTCACTCACTCCTTCAGTACTAAGCTGTGTGTTGCTGTATCGTGACACCGGGTGTCAGTACAGTAAGTAGTATAGTCTGTACTTGTTACTGGCCTATGTAGATCTGTACACTCACTTCAGTACTAAGCTATGTGTTGCTGTATCGTGACACCGGGTGTCAGTACAGTAAAGAGTATTATCTGTACTTGTTACTGGGCTGTCTAGATCTGTACACGTCTCTTAATATAACAGTACTGAAGGAGCGATAGTGTACAGATCTAGATTCTTACAGTTACCCCAGATCAGCTCGATGGGATTGAGCTCACAGTGCCGTACTGGTGTACGCAGAGCTATGTGGCCCTGTTTCACAGCTAGTTCGTCAGTGATGTACTCTATTGGCTTTCTATTGGCATGAGCCGGGGCTTTGTTTCTGACTGCCTGTAAAGCACGTTACAGGTAGTGAGAAAATTTTGCAACCGAGCCTTGAGATTGCTCATGGTGGGTGTGATGGTACCAGGGACACGCAGGTTATGGTAACTGACGTCATCCAAAATCATAACGCTTGGTTCGTCCAGCTGCGGTAAAAGCTGATGTTCGAACCAATCCAAAAATACCTGCCCATTCATTTCGCTATGGTAATCACCATCAGATTTCTTGTCCTCAAAAACAAAGTCACAACCCCCAATCAGTCCCTTGCTACGGGTACCAGCATGCAAGATGATCAGGCGTCTACCTTTGCCTGTTGGTAACACTGGTGCCTTTGAACAATGTGAAGGAAGCCACATCCGATCGGTTGAGTGAATTATATTACACCAGGTTTCATCAAGGTATATAACTTGAAACCCCAATTTGCGGTATTATTCAACTGATCCAATGGACAGGATTGAGTACTTTTCTCTAAACACAGCTCTGTCATCTCCCCTCTTGGTGTACCTGAACCCCATTTCTAATAAGTATTGTTTTCGAGACATGTATTGTATCTTTGAACTCATCTTGTATTTTAGCACACATCGGTGGGATTTTGCATTCACACAGTTTATAAACTGCACGGCGTATGATACCTTATCAAAGCTATCCAGTTTGTGTTTTTGACCTGGTTTTGATTTTGACACGACCCTATATGTGACTGATTTGTTAACAACTTTGTAAAATTAGGGGTTTACACATTCTACAGTAAACCCTGTCATAGCTGACGAGAGGTTTGCCCCTGTGTTTCTCCAGTATGAAATAATGGTATAAATTTGAAGTTAATTGTTCTGCAGAGATATCAAGTTGTATGTTGCCAGTTCAGTGCTCAAACACGAAGTGAAACTTCTATGGGTGAACAAGATCATTAGCTGATCCAGGGGTGGGTTGGGGTGGGTGTGGTGTTTCTGGGGTTCGAACCCATCCCGAATCCGAATGTTGTTAGAACTTCAAAATTTGCGCCTATACAGTCACCCCTCAAGTGCATTTTTTCATCTGAGCTTCAGTATCCAACTAGGTAGAGTCGTACTTGTATCATATATGAGCTTTTATCTTGTGTCAAATTCATCATGTTGATATTGAAGTCAAAAAAGCATTTTCCAAGCAATTCCGGCATGCTGTGTGTTGCTGAACTGTAACACCGGGTGTCAGTATAGTGACGAGTATTTGGAATAGGTACTGTCTGCGCTTGCGAGTGTTTGTCAGTGTCTCTACGTCAGTGAGCAGTATGTTGCTGTATGCACAATGGCCTCGCTCCCTCAAGCGTGTCAGCGGACTGGCGTGCTCATATTTCTTGCAGATTGCGTAGAGGAACGAAGTGTACCGAATGTACAATACACGGATAAAGTGGGAGAGCGTAGCGTAGTATTTAGGACGTACTTTCCACACCACAGTTTCTCTATAAACCAACACCTGTCTAACTGTACCGAGCAGTGTGTTGATGTGACACTGTGAACTCGGCCCGGTGTTTCACTGCATCGACGGTGTGCATTGGACGTGTGTGGTGGGGAGAGCCACACACCCGGACCTCGGAGGAGACGCCTCATGAGGGTAAGTCTGCTGGCTTAATGGTAATGTTAACATGGACGCGGTCTGCATTCACAATATGTCTACTACTAAACATTATAGTTAAACACAAACAAACCCAACCAATCACCTGCAATAACCCAAGTACGTGATGTTTTCTTATGCGTCAACACACGCACACACACACACACACACACATACACACACACAGCGAGCGAGACAAAACCAACGCTTCAGGGGGACGTTTAACAGAAGACCGAATACAGTTTATACACCCTTACAGCCTCTCTTGTAAGCACTGGCGACACGGGTACAGCTTGTCATTCAAAACTACTGCATGCGTTATGTTGAGCCAATAACAAGGCCGGGCGTGCTGACTCTCCTACCCAAAGTTAATTGCGGTAACCGTCTTTCACGAATTTGCACAAATTTCTGCACTTTTGCAATGCAGATTTTAGTGAAATAATACAGCAGTAAAAATGTTAGTTTAATTTTCTGGAAATGATGGTAGCAAGATTTTATGATTAAAATACAGGAACATGAAACATAAATTACAATATAATCAAGTTAATGATAATCTATTCCTATCAGGTATTTAACTGCGACATAAGTTCAATATGATTCAACTGCAGGACTATGCGACCTAACACTAAATGCTTCATGGTACAACATGGTAGGAAACATAGCCTTTGTGCTCTTGCTGCAAGATGTCCTTTGTCAATAATATATTGAAATATATAAATATGAATAATAAACACCGTGCGTGAAGTTCTCTCCTAATGCTCATAAGATATCCCCTTTGCATTATATGGAATATCCTCCGCCCTCTCTCTCTCTCTCTCTATATATATATATATATATATATGTACAACAACAATTTCAATGAGTATTTCTGATTATCTATAACAATATTTTAATTTTGATCAGACTTTAAGCACTGGATTTTTTTTATTGCGTTTTCCTGTAATGATGTATGTAACACTTTTTGTTTCATAGTTGCACACTATTTAATTTTTTAATCAGACGCTTCCAAAATCCAAAGAATGCGAAAAATAGTAATAAGAATTTAAAAAAATGAGAATCAAGAAAAATATTCATGTCTCATCATCGAAATGTACGAATACAAAGTCCCTGCAATATTTACGATAATAAACATGTTGAATGCTTCCACCTGGTGAACAGATCACATCGCCGCCCAAGGTGTAACATGGGGTAAGTGGGTGCTCCACATTGAACATAGGATTGTGTTTAGTGGCACAAGATATCTGCATAGCGTACAATATAGCTTACATTTGAATGCAACTGTTTTTACAGGTATTGTGAGTTTTAGTTGGGAAGGAGATAACAGGCATGAGTCAACCACCGCGGCTGACTGAGGGGCAAATCCCAGGACTGGATACTGAGGCCAAACTCAAGGATGACAGACCAGAAACACTTAGCCCATCTGGTCATGTCACACTTCCCAAAGTTCAGACCATGACTGTTGCAGCAACGACGGGGACAAACGCCAGAACCGACACCGCAATTGCTGCAGGGGTTGTACATGGTGCGGTTGGCAGCAACGTCACAAATGTCTTCTACAAAGGTAAGAATGTAACAAATGCCTCCTTGTTCAATATACTAGTACCCCAGTATTCGCAGTATGATGGTATTCACAGTATCACACCATCATGTATATATTATGGTATATTATATGTTGTTGTTTTGACAGTGCTTGCACCTACTGATGTTCTCAGTAAAGTGAAAGTGGGCGGGATTGATGAACTTTCCTACGAAAATGTGGATAACATGTTGAGTTTCACCACAAATTATTGTTTACAGACACCGAGGCCGCTCTGAAACGGAACGTAAGTATTGTTTACTTTAATTACTTGTAACGAATGCATTGGTAAACATATATCTCAACATTCTTAGACCGCCTGTGTATAGAACACTTCATAACTTTGTGCCAAGGTCGCTTGAAGTGGCCAGATATACAAAAACTAGTATCTGTGCAGATTTTCATATTTCTTAAGAACATACAACGAACAAATCCACGTAATGATACATGGTTTAGTATCAAGCACGGGCAGTGTCACAGAATGGGATGATGGTGTTTTATTGTGGTATGAGTTGTTTTACACGTACTGGATGAAGGTGTTCTCGAGGGGAGAATGGCTTCATGAACCGATGTGTTTGTAGGATCATGTTGGTCATGTGTTCAGAAGACTGATTGTGACGAGGGTTGGCCAAAGGGAATCAGGCTTCTCGACTTAACTGGTTACCGTGTACACAGCGTTGACGTCTTACAGCTTGAGTCCCTGCCTGTGTGGGCCACATGGAACATTGCTGTCTGGGCCACATGGAACATTGCTGTCTGGGCCACATGGAACATTGCTGTCTGGGCCACATGGAACATTGCTGTCTGGGCCACATGGAACATTGCTGTCTGGGCCACATGGAACATTGTTGTCTGGGCCACATGGAACATTGCTGTCTGGGCCACATGGAACATTGCTGTCTGGGCCACATGGAACATTGCTGTCGGGGCCACATGGAACATTGCTGTCGGGGCCACATGGAACATTGCTGTCTGGGCCACATGGACCATTGCTGTCTGGGCCACATGGAACATTGCTGTCTGGGCCACATGGAACATTGCTGTCGGGGCCACATGGAACATTGCTGTCTGGGCCACATGGAACATTGCTGTCTGGGCCACATGGAACATTGCTGTCTGGGCCACATGGAACATTGCTGTCGGGGCCACATGGAACATTGCTGTCTGGGCCACATGGAACATTGCTGTCTGGGCCACATGGAACTGTAGCACATGACAACTCTCCTCGGGTGAAAGCTGCATTCGCTTCCCAGGGCATATCTTGACAACACATTTTGAATTTTATAGAGCCCCTGAACAATTTCAGCATACTATTTCTCTCAACCATTAAAACAATTATATGCCAGTTACGTCTAATTCATTACTTCCACGTTGCAGGTATGAATGTTTCAATAATTTATGAAACGACCCTACTGACCTACACTGGCCTACACATTTGCTCTTGAATATTCCTGTTTTGTCAAGACGAAATGATTACAATCACCATACACATTGACACGCCTCATGAGATGAGTTTACACTTCGGAAAAAGCATAAACTGTAAAATCCTTTCGGAAATGCTCTAATTGACTCAACAAGAGGTAAAGGCATTTACGACTAGGTTGTGGGGACGTGGCTATATCAATAATATTACATTGTACATGAAAAGCAGCTTCTCTCGCAGGAAGTATTGATAGGTAGTTATGAGTGTTGGGAAATACACCACCCCACATAGCTATAGTGCATAATGGCAATAGTAGATACGTAGCGCTGGAGGACAATAAATGGGCAGCTGTTTATCTTGACCATGTTAGTATCGGCACATTGACCACAGACACGCCATGTTACCTGCTACGGTTTAAGCTGTGTAATAGAATAAACTATTATTCAGAGCCTGTTGAAAAGTTTCAAATATCTGAGGAATATCTTGACATCTTGACTGTTTCACATCATTAATTTGAAATTTACTCTAACACTTTTAAACTATTGAACGTCTAACTATTGGACAATGTAGTTCTTTACATGTTTTTTTGTGTTAGGTTTAGTTTTATGACTGTTTTATTAAACGTTTCTGAACCATAAATATGACATTTTTATTCCTTCTTTTGAAAGAAGCCTTGAAAGAATATAGTTCATCCACTTTATTTGCATTTTAAATTTCTATATTGGTTGTATTTTTCTGAAAGCTTTCCTTACGCCGTCTTCTGTTGTTGATTGGAAGATTTCAGAACGAATATCAAGATTAGACATGCGTTCACCAAGTCATCTTTAGTAAAAGGTCTAAATCTAGATGGAAAGCAAATGTCACTTAAATCGTCCTGAGAATAAAGTATATTGAATATTGGAAGTCTTCACTCATACCATCTAATTTAGAGTAAAACTTTTGTCAGAAAATCATGTGAATCAAAACAAAGTAACTTTGACAAGACATTTGACGTCAGTTTCAGATATATCTATGATCTGATATCGTTTAATAACCATGATCTGTTTCATAGTTAAGTACATGAACATAATGATCAGAGGAAATCAGATGTGGACTCGCATTTAGACAAGGAACAGCTAATTTCTCCCACACGTATTTGCAGTCAGCAGCTTAATTGCCTTTACTTTAAATGTACACCCATATTTGGATAAAAGTGTTACGTTGAAATATTATCTTGAAAAGTATCCTTGTGTTGATGCCCTACTATAACAGGGTGTGATGGCAAGGTAAGTATTGCTTCAAAACCACAGGATGTGATGGCTAGATAACCATTGCTTCATAACCACTGGATGTGATGGCTAGATAACCATTGCTTCATAACCACAGGATGTGATGGCTAGATAACCATTGTTTCATAAGCATTCCTTGCATATGCAACAGCCCAGTTCACTTGAACATAACACTTAATGGAAATGATACTTTGATAAAATATGTCATTTCTGTTTACAGCTCAGGACTTTAGAAAACAAAATGCAGATACATCAACGCCAATTGAATGGTAAGTGTGCATATAGTGGAAGCATTCGGTTTGTTCTATGGATTATATCTTCCGTGTTATTCTGGCCACGATTGGCTGTATGCTTGTCATCTGAGCAGTGTTTATAGATCTATAAGTGTGCATATTTCAGTTTAGTCTTCAAACAGAGGGGGAGATCATTTTATTTTATGTTTCATGTTTTTATGCTCCAATACTGTGTATGTGTGCGATATCAATGCTGGTATGATATTTTTTGTGTTTTTGCAGATATGGAATCAAAGGTGAGTAGAAGTTTCATGTTGAAATAAATTCACGACTATTATTATCAGGTCAAAGAGTATCGAGACACACAGTTTACTAGAATCATTCTCTGTAACAGATGTTCACAGCTGAGCACTGACTAAATGTTGTCGGCCAACCAATGTTTAACCTGTGCCGACATGTTGTTTAGTGATACTTTATTATGTATTAAAATGTTGGCTGGCTAGACTTCTGTGTTTTTATCGATCCTTAACATTACAGATACAAGAACTGGAAAACGACATTAAACAACACCAATGTAACGGTAAGCAATATTAGGGGATTTTGTTTGCTTGTGGGGGATGTTTTCTCATGATGTATATAGCTTACAGGATATTAGACATATGAACAAAATTATCTTAGTCTAGAACAAAGATTATTAATATGTTAATTTGAATTAGAAATATATTCCCTGTGTCAATAGTTTGTGGATTCCGTCCTACTTGCAGCTAGTTTGGAGGACACACCAAACGTCCAAGATCAGGTAAAGTAGCACTTCTACTTATGACTAGTAATAGACACTGTGCAGTCAGTGGATATATAACACTGCAAGTGTAACATGTATCACCGTACACTTTACCAGGGTACAGGGCGCTCTGTTGAAACCAAAACTCTGTATCACCGTACACAGTACCAGGGTACAGGGCGCTCTGTTGAAACCGAAACTCTGTATCACCGTACACTGTAGCAGGGTACAGGGCGCTCTGTTGAAACCGAAACTCTGTACCACCGTACACTGTAGCAGGGACCAGGGCGCTCTGTTGAAACCGAAACTCTGTATCACCGTACACTGTAGCAGGGTACAGGGCGCTCTGTTGAAACCGAAACTCTGTATCACCGTACACTGTAGCAGGGTACAGGGCGCTCTGTTGAAACCGAAACTCTGTATCACCGTACACTGTAGCAGGGTACAGGGCGCTCTGTTGAAACCGAAACTCTGTATCACCGTACACTGTAGCAGGGTACAGGGCGCTCTGTTGAAACCGAAACTCTGTATCAACGTACACTGTAGCAGGGAACAGGGCGCTCTGTTGAAACCGAAACTCTGTATCACCGTACACTGTAGCAGGGAACAGGGCGCTCTGTTGAAACCGAAACTCTGTATCATCGTACACTGTAGCAGGGAACAGGGCGCTCTGTTGAAACCGAAACTCTGTATCATCGTACACTGTAGCAGGGAACAGGGCGCTCTGTTGAAACCGAAACTCTGTATCACCGTACACTGTAGCAGGGAACAGGGCGCCCCATTGAAACCGAAACTCTGTATCATCGTACACTGTAGCAGGGAACAGGGCGCCCCATTCAAACCGAAACTCTGTATCATCGTACACTGTAGCAGGGAACAGGGCGCCCCATTGAAACCGAAACTCTGTATCACCGTACACTGTAGCAGGGAACAGGGCGCTCTGTTGAAACCGAAACTCTGTATCATCGTACACTGTAGCAGGGAACAGGGCGCTGTGTTTAAACTGAAACTCTGTATCACCGTACACTGTAGCACGGAACAGGGCGCTCTGTTGAAACCGAAACTCTGTATCACCGTACACTGTAGCAGGGAACAGGGCGCTCTGTTGAAACCGAAACCCTGTATCATCGTACACTGTAGCAGGGAACAGGGCGCTCCGTTGAAACCGAAACTCTGTATCACCGTACACTGTAGCAGGGAACAGGGCGCTCTGTTGAAACCGAAACTCTGTATCATCGTACACTGTAGCAGGGAACAGGGCACTCTGTTGAAACCGAAACTCTGTATCATCGTACACTGTAGCAGGGAACAGGGCGCTGTGTTTAAACCGAAACTCTGTATCACCGTACGCTGTAGGAGGGAACAGGACGCTCTGTTGAAACCGAAACTCTGTATCACCGTACACTGTAGCAGGGAACAGGGCGCTCTGTCAAAACCGTAACTCTGTATCATCGTACACTGTAGCAGGGAACAGGGCGCTCTGTTGAAACTGAAACTCTGTATCATCGTACACTGTAGCAGGGAACAGGGCGCTCTTCTGAAACCGAAACTCTGTATCATCGTACACTGTAGCAGGGAACAGGGCGCTCTGTTGAAACCGAAACTCTGTATCACCATACACTGTAACAGGGAACAGGGCGCCCCATTGAAACCGAAACTCTGTATCACCGTACACTGTAGCAGGGAACAGGGCGCTCTGTTGAAACCGAAACTCTGTATCATCGTACACTGTAGCAGGGAACAGGGCGCTCTGTTGAAACCGAAACTCTGTATCACCGTACACTGTAGCAGGGAACAGGACGCTCTGTTGAAACCGAAACTCTGTATCACCGTACACTGTAGCAGGAACAGGGCACCCTGTTGAAACCGAAAACTCTGTATCACCGTCGTACACTGTAGCAGGGAACAGGGCGCTCTGTTGAAACCGAAACTCTGTATCACCGTACACTGTAGCAGGGAACAGGGCACCCTGTTGAAACCGAAACTCTGTATCACCGTACACTGTAGCAGGGAACAGGGCGCTCTGTTGAACCCAAAACTCTGTATCATCGTACACTTCATCGTAGCAGGGAACAGGGCGCTCTGTTGAAACCGAAACTCTGTATCATCGTACACTGTAGCAGGGAACAGGGCACCCTGTTGAAACCGAAACTCTGTGTCATCGTACACTGTAGCAGGGAACAGGGCGCTCTGTTGAAACCGAAACTCTGTATCACCGTGCACTCTAGCAGGGAACAGGGCGCTCTGTTGAAACCGAAACTCTGTATCACCGTACACTGTAGCAGGGAACAGGGCGCTCTGTTGAAACCGAAACTCTGTATCACCGTACACTGTAGCAGGGAACAGGGCGCTCTGTTGAAACCGAAACTCTGTATCACCGTACACTGTAACAGGGAACAGGGCGCTCTGTTGAAACCGAAACTCCTGGGCCATGTTCAGGAACAGATTGGAGGGAACTGTTTTAACAACCCATTTATGGCTTAACGAAACATATATCCTACCACTTCCTCTTCAAACATGTATCTTATTTACATAGTTTTGTTTGATCCTCTAGACGAACACAGTGTTATATTTCTGGAAGACCTTCTATAGGTTAACTTATCTAACTTTTATTAGAAGCATCATATAGCTTTTATACCCTGGCTGTCTAAAGAGTAACTGTAAAATTCCTTTAATAAACACCAACATATAAGATTTTGTATATGTGTTCTACAGACTGACTTACATGTCGTGTAACTCATGATAACCGTTGATGCATGTTGGTATCCGTTTCCAGATTGGTCAACTGAAGGAAGAAATAAAGATGCACAAATCTGAAATAGCAAGTGAGTACCACACTTACCCGCTTTGCGACCGGTTGTGTTATTCAAGTAAACCAAACACAAATCCATTCGATTGAATTGAAAGACTCACTCAGGTACGGCCACTTTATAAACTGATGCTTTTGTTCCTTGTATTTTGTGCAGGGTTGGAGAACGAAGTGTTACCCGATCTCATGGCCAAGGTAAGTAATAAATAGTAAGTAAAATCATGTCGGCATACGTTTCCTAACAGAGTTCTCAAATACTGCATTCGTTTTTCATTACGTGAGCAGTGGGTACAATTGATTACAAAATCTCTCCTTTAAATATTTTCAGACGGACGAAGTCAAAGATCAGCTAGAAAAACATGAAAAGACTGCCCAAGGTATCACTATCCTATAACCTATGCTTCAAGGACAATATACAGTCATGAAGTGGGCTCCCCTTCAAACATGGAAGACTTGCCTGGTGGCTCATGTTTGAAGAACGAGCCCAATAGATGCGGCATTCCATAGCGGTACAGAAGAGCCCCAGTTCGCCTTCATATAACGCTGATATTTTACTTATTTCTTGTCAAATCAGCAGACCACTTTTTGACAAATTACCGCTCTTCTGTACGGGCAGGTAACTCTCTTACCTCAACTATTTCTGACACAGTTGTGAAACAATACTTCATCCAGCATCAACTGCATCATTTATTTTCAGATAAGATGGACGACATCCCAGTTCTGAAGCGAAAGGTATCTCGTGGATAGAACTTCATTTGTTCTACTTTGACAAAATGTTATATTTGATTGAAACGAACCCATACCGTATTTCGATTGACATTATCTGTGACATGACAACTGTTCATACAAGCAATATTTCTTCACGTATCTCAACTGTCCCACTTTCATGTCTTCTGTTCACCATGATGTTGGCCAGGGTCTTGTTTACACATGTTATTTTTCCAATTTCAGATGCAGAGGCTGATACAGGTCCTAGAAAAGTACGGTACAGACGTGGCACGTGAGTATATATTACCTTCTTGTCTATAATTACTGACCATTAGATCTGTATGAAATAATTAATTCAGTTAAGACAGTAAGTTCTATTTATGCGTGAGTACAAACATGGTACGTCTTTTTATTTACAGATGAACGTGAGAAAATAACAGATCTATATAGACAGGTTGGTATTCTTTATCGATCACATGTTGTGGTATAATCTCAAGACTCGAGCGGACAGTCTAACCTCAGAGTATGGGACAATACAAGCACACTGAAATCTCATTCTCCCTTACAATGTGTGTGTGTGTGTGTGTGTGTGTGTGTGTGTGTGTGTGTGTGTGTGTGTGTGTGTGTGGTGTGTGTGTGGGAGGTGTTGTGGTAGTTGTTTGAGAGGAAGTAGCTTTGGTTATTATCTCATTAATTGCATGATCAATTATAAACTGACTCATTTACTTTGCAAAGACAACTTTGTTTAAGACAATCCATCCTCCTAACATTTATTAGCCTGTGTGACATAACACTCCTCGTTATAGAGCGAGTGAACACTTTTGTCGAAAACGTATTTTAGAATATCTATAGTCCTACGATACATCAAAAACAGACATATCCCTATCAATATCAATCAAGAATTCACCCCCCTTAACACGCGTAACATCATCTCACAACGCATGCTTCTGTCACGCCCATGTCATACACCTGTCACATTCTTGAAATGACATTGTTAAATACTTGTCATACACCTGCCAGATGCTTGCTATACAACAATCACATGCTTGTCATAAACCTTCCACACTCGTAACATATATGTGCGTCATGCTCTTGTTATAACATACAACTCGTCTCTCTCTTGTGTCATATTCCGCATCTTCTTGTCAGGTACCATCCCGATATTGTCATACAACCATCGATCTCGTCATATAATGAGCACCACGCTCCTGTACGGTACACCTGTTACAGTAGTTTCATCAATATCACAACTTGCCATACAGCTCTTACATAGTTGTGTCACACACCACTCAAGAAGTTGTTATTCAACCATCAAGATCTTCAACAGTTATTCTATTCTTATCATATATCCGTCACGGTATTGTCATACACTCGTGACAGAATATTGCCAGTTTATGCCAGTCATACACTTGTCACACCACAGTCACATTGCCAGTATACCTCCTTCACACATCTGTCAAAGTTCAATAACGCTCTTGTCATACGTGGCAATGTGGCGGTGGTGTGACAAGGACGTTATTGATCTCTGACGTATGTATGAAGATGGTATACCGACATTGTGGGGTGGTATGACATCGTCACATCATACCATCGTCACATCATACCACCGTCACATCAAACCACCGTCACATCAAACCACCGTCACATCATACCCACGTCACATCAAACCACCGTCACATTATAACATCGTCACATCATACCACCGTCACATCATCACATCGTCACATCAAACCACCGTCACATTATAACATCGTCACATCATACCCCCGTCACATCAAACCACCGTCACATAAAACCACCGTCACATCATACCACCGTCGCATCAAACCACCGTCACATCATAACATCGTCACATCATACCACCGTCACATCAAACCACCGTCACATCAAACCAACGTCACATCAAACCACCGTCACATCATACCACCGTCACATCAAACCACCGTCACATCATACCACCGTCACATCAAACCACCGTCACATCATACCACCGTCACATCATACCACCGTCACATCAAACCACCGTCACATCAAACCACCGTCACATCAAACCACCGTCACATCATACCAACGTCACATCAAACCACCGTCACATCAAACCACCGTCACATCAAACCACCGTCACATCAAACCAACCGTCACATCAAACCACCGTCACATCAAACCAACGTCACATCAAACCACCGTCACATCAAACCACCGTCACATCATACCACCGTCACATCATACCACCGTGACATCAAACCACCGTCACATCAAACCAACCGTCACATCATAACATCGTCACATCAAACCACCGTCACATCAAACCACCGTCACATTATAACATCGTCACATCAAACCACCGTCACATCAAACCACCGTCACATCATACCACCGTCACTTCAAACCACCGTCACATCATACCACCGTCACATCAAACCACCGTCACATCATACCACCGTCACATCATACCACCGTCACATCAAACCACCGTCACATTATAACATCGTCACATCAAACCACCGTCACATCATAACATCGTCACATCATACCACCGTCATATCAAACCACCGTCACATTATAACATCGTCACATCAAACCACCGTTACATCAAACCACCGTCACATCATAACATCGTCACATCATACCACCGTCACATCAAACCACCGTCACATCAAACCACCGTCACATTATAACATCGTCACATCAAACCACCGTTACATCAAACCACCGTCACATCATAACATCGTCACATCATACCACCGTCACATCAAACCACCGTCAGAATACCACCGTCACATTATAACATCGTCACATCAAACCTCACTTATAACATCGTCACACAACCACCGTCATCAAACCACCGATCATAATGATATGTCTCAACGTGATGGACTGGAGCCTGACTGACTTGTCATACTGTTGTATATCGATGTGAACTGACGTCCTCTCTTTTGACACTGCAGTAAACTGGATTGTTTTCTTATCTGCAGATTGGAAAGTTGGAAAACGACATGAAGAAAAAAGAGTCAGGTTAGCTTTTCCGAATGAAATGAAGGTAGCTGATGTTTAGCTAGGACACTTTGACTCATCTGATATTGGAACTGATGTGAAGGCCTTGTTCTGATCAATGTTCTCACATTTCGAGTTACTGGCAAAGTCAATTGTTCTTTTGATACAAACATGCATACCTATTGTAAATAAGTTTGTGTTAAGATATGATAGCAAACAAAGACAGCATGTGGAATCTAGGCATGATAGACAAACATGTGAGTATATAAGACACATCTACCACTCTATACTGGTCTGACTGTCTATATAGTGCTCACGTGACCTACAACTGCGGGTTTAACACAAGGAGGTGGACACATTCCCTCAGGTAGGATTGTTCTGAGCACACATGCTGGTGTGTTTTTCCAGTGTTGTAGGAGAGTTCGATGAAGGCTCTCATGACTCGAGCCAATTCGGCTCACTTCTGAAGCGTTACATCGCACAACTCAAGGAGTAATATTTCATCTCTTCCGTTACTTTCAGGTGAAATGAGGGCTGTGCAAGAACTAAAGACTCAAGTAAGTACCCAATATCGTTGATTTGAACTAACACCTCGCACTATACACCACACATCCGACTCCCAGCAGCAGACAGGTCTTGCCTTGGCAAATGTACACACGTCCTTCCCATTACATTTGGGTAAGATCTAACGGAGAGTGAGATATTATATCTTGTAATTGGGGCATGAGAATACGTCCAGATATAATACACGACTGTTGGTCTGACTGTTTTGTGAGGACACAGCAGTACAGGCGGGTCTCGCCTGACGTCATTTTACTCTTCATGTCTATTGTGCTTGTTAAAGAGGAGGAAAAACAAGAGGAGGACAAACATGAACAATAAAACAACATATCAGCAATCCTCTCGAGCTCCATGATGTTTGGGCTGTGATGTCTTGTACAGTTCATCTACATTCATCTGCATGCTACGCAGACAAACCTATTGTAAATGATATGTAAAACACTGTTTTTCCGTTGTATATACGTGTATTATATAGGGTTCACAAACCTGTCTACAAAACACCACATAAACCACATTATTGTCCCTACTGCCTAGCCCTCTCCTGCAATGTAGTCTGTCTCACAGCCCTTGAACCACATTATTGTCCCTACTGCCTAGCCCTCCCTGCAATGTAGTCTGTCTCACAGCCCTTGAACCACATTATTGTCCCTACTGCCTAGCCCTCCCTGCAATGTAGTCTGTCTCACAGCCCTTGAACCACATTATTGTCCCTACTGTCCCTCTCTGCACTGCCTAGCCCTCCCACATCTGCAATGTAGTCTGTCTCACAGCCCTTGAACCACATTATTGTCCCTACTGCCTAGCCCCCTACTGCCTAGTCCCTACTGCCTAGCCCTCCCTGCAATGTAGTCTGTCTCACAGCCCTTGAACCACATTATTGTCCCTACTGCCTAGCCCTCCCTGCAATGTAGTCTGTCTCACAGCCCTTGAACCACATTATTGTCCCTACTGCCTAGCCCTCCCTGCAATGTAGTCTGTCTCACAGCCCCTGAACCACAGCCCCTACTGTAGTCTCCCTGCAATGTAGTCTGTCTCACAGCCCTTTATTTTCCCTCTTACTACCACATTATTGTCCCTACTGCCTAGCCCTCTAAGTCCTGCAATGTAGTCTGTCTCACAGCCCTTGAACCACATTATTGTCCCTACTGCCTCCCTGCTAAGTCCTATATGAAGCAAGTCTAGATTTCTCCCTTTGTTCCTGAATGTCCCAACTCATTAGGACTTCTTGAATGTCCCAACTTTAGACTTCTTTTTTCAATTTGATTCTAATTAAAATGAGTTTAATTTTTACTATTAAAATCATAAATATTCAGTGACTAAACTGCACATTTTCCACTTTCCAGCACGCTGTATATATCATGTAAAACACTGTATATATGTATAACAACACTGCATTTGTTTCCTCAGTGTCAAGCTTCCACTGTAACTTGTATATCCCGAGTATGTAATATCATGTTAACTGTATAGTATACATCCCCAGTATGTAATATCATGTTCACTGTATAGTGTACATCCCCAGTATGTAATATCATGTTCACTGTATAGTGTACATCCCCAGTATGTAATATCATGTTCAACTGTACTTAGGGAGAAGGCGACCATCAAGTGGTACACTTGTGCCTAATCCAGTTGTTTTCTGGACAATAAAATATGTTTTAACTAAACTAAACTAAACGTCAGTCTACAAACCATTGAGCATGGTTATTACAGATAGGATATTGTTTCTGGTTACAGCTGGAGGCTGTCAGATCTGAACAAGCCAAACAAAGCCGACATCTGAGAGGTATGTATGATACAATAAACAAAATTATCTTTAGTTAATTAATTTATTTGCTCGAGGGTTTCGGTAGGCAGACAAGAACTGCGTTATTTCAGTCCGTTCTTCTTCGTTAAACAGGCACCCCATGTTTCATGAAGCAATACTGTTCAACCCGGACTTTATAACGCCATGTATGATATGGACATTTGTATCATCTCCAGAATAATAAATACGAGCGTCATTGTTTAAATCAGGAAATGATAGATAGTGACTTTTATCTCCAGATGAGATGAGGGAGCTACGAGAATGGAAGGAACAAGTGAGTATTTGTATTTGTTCTTCTCTTCTCACGTGAGTGTGATCCTCCATGTTCTCACGTCAGTGTGATCCTCCATGTTCTCACGTCAGTGTGATCCTCCATGTTCTCACGTCAGTGTGATCCTCCATGTTCTCACGTCAGTGTGATCCTCCATGTTCTCACGTCAGTGTGATCCTCCATGTTCTCACGTCAGTGTGATCCTCCATGTTCTCACGTCGTGTGATCCTCCATGTTCTCACGTCAGTGTGATCCTCCATGTTCTCACGTCAGTGTGATCCTCCATGTTCTCACGTCAGTGTGATCCTCCATGTTCTCACGTCAGTGTGATCCTCCATGTTCTCACGTCAGTGTGATCCTCCATGTTCTCACGTCAGTGTGATCCTCCATGTTCTCACGTCAGTGTGATCCTCCATGTTCTCACGTCTGTGTGATCCTCCATGTTCTCACGTCAGTGTGATCCTCCATGTTCTCACGTCAGTGTGATCCTCCATGTTCTCACGTCTGTGTGTGATGACGTCTCCATGTTCTCACGTCAGTGTGATCCTCCTCCATGTTCTCACGTCAGTGTGATCCTCCATGTTCTCACGTCAGTGTGATCCTCCATGTTCTCACGTCAGTGTGATCCTCCATGTTCTCACGTCAGTGTGATCCTCCATGTTCTCACGTCAGTGTGATCCTCCATGTTCTCACGTCAGTGTGATCCTCCATGTTCTCACGTCAGTGTGATCCTCCATCTCACGTCTGTGATCCTCCATATTCTCGTCCTCCATGTGTCAGTGTGATCCTCCATGTTCTCACGTCAGTGTGATCCTCCATCTCCATGTTCTCGTCAGTGTGATCCTCCATGTTCTCACGTCAGTGTGATCCTCCATGTTTCTCATCGTCCATGTTCTCACGTCAGTGTGATCCTCCATGTTCTCACGTCACGTCTGTGTGATCCTCCATGTTCTCATGTTCTCACGTCAGTGTGATCCTCCATGTTCTCATTCTCACGTCTGTGTGATCCTCCATGTTCTCACGTCACAATTGGTCTGTGTGATCTCCATGTTTCACGTCACAATGGCTGGATCTGTTTGTCAACATACATTGAGCAACGTAAGAGACTGAGTATTGATTAAAATCTATGGTATGGTATAACCCCAGATTATAAGACTATTATATGTCAATTGAAATAAATCAAATAACCCATCATTGAAGAGCGTGCAATGCTTGTCTTATTTCTTTCCTCCAAGAGGAATACTTATTAATACTTATATATTCATACAATAAGCCATAAAACGTTAGTGTGTATGTGTTACTCTCTATTATAGATGTGGAAACAGCATGATGAAAAGTTGAGGCAAATGCAAGACCAGATGAAAGGTGTGCTTCATAAAGTAAAACTGAAATAATTTCTAAGCCAAAACAATCTTGACAGATTATTTGCATGATATTTCAAATGTCAACCAAATGTACGTCTTGGCAACCGCTGGCTTCTCTTCCTGAAATACGATTATATGACAAAGCTCTTATATTGCTGGTATATTGCTTGTATATAATTAGCTATGCGTTAAGAATACTTACACATGGACAGAAATAATATATGGACTACAGAATAAAACCACGTTCAAGTGGATGTGGTATGTTATGAAGCATTTTACTGTTTACAGAAGAACGGATGGCGAGGGGAGCAGCGGAGATAGCAAGGACGGCTGCAGAGAGACAGGTGAACATTTCTTTATTCAATGAGGCATTAGGATAAGTAATCGAATGTACTGACGCTAATAGGTAAATATGACTCATTATATTGATATAACTATTCTAATATATACTGTCCCCCGCCGTAATATTGCTGGAATATTGCAAAGAACAGCGTAAAACTTACTCAGTCTAATATATACTGAAACTATCAGGCAGTGAATCTCACATCTTCGGAAGCTATCAGATATATACCCTTCCATACGCTGACTTTATCAGGCATATGCTATTCCTTTCTACATTGAAGCTAACGGGTATATACCTAATTTGTAAACCTTTCTTTATTTTCTGAAGATATCATGTAAATACGCTTTGATATACAGGGCTTTCCTAACCTGACATTCCTCGTCCGACCCCGACTCCGTGTAGTTAGTTAGGCCTATAACATTCAACACCTCAGTGAAGCTGTCAACAAGTTCTATGGTAGAACAAACCGCATTTGCAAATTGTGTTATGGAAGGCAGGGCACCGGTAGTCTACAAAGACAACAGTGGTGTGATATTCTGGTATTGTCCCTCTATTATAAACCTATGGCCAATGTTGTCTATTGTTCTTGCAGTTGCTTCGCATTATGGAATAACCACAACCCATCGCTACTCTAGAGGTACGGCGGTTTGTATCCACTACGCTGATGAAGGATCGCTGTGAGGAAAACTGAGATTCTTTGGCGAGGTTTCGAACCATGCCTGGCGGTTTTATTCACGCTACGAAGGATCGCTGTGAGGAATGAGTTTTGCAGCGCAACCATGTGCAGGGTACACGCGGTAGCGCGGGTGCAGAGCACGAGCATTGCGCGTGCGGGGCAAGGTGTTGGCTGCCAGTCGCATCCCAGTTGACACCGGCTGTTCCATCATTTGCGGGCTGTTCCATCAATGTTCTTCTACTCAGTACATGCACAAATTGAAATTAAGTGTTGTCTTAGACGGTTTATAAGTTAGATAAAACACTCCAATCCTCGGTTTTGGTTGAGATTGTAAAAGCCTCAGTGTCGACAGAACAAACTCAACTTTCAATAACTTATTGTATTATAAAATACTGTCTAGAGTTAGCTATATATATGAAACTGCTATATATTTGAAAATAATATTTTTGTATGAAATTCTATATACTAGATGTACTAAGTCCATGCGCACTTCAATGTTAATAGCTTCTTTTCAACACCAAGGGATAGGAGAAGAAAACACACGAACACGCCATTGATTTTTGTCATCTTCTTGTTTCTGCTCTGTCTCAGGAAGTCCATTTTACGATGAGGCCACATTGATGTTAACAAACAAAGAACAACTCAGGCATCATGTGATCAATCACATTCACATATTGAGTGAATACCTTTTGTTTTTCCCCACAGCTAAATAGGGAATGTATGTAAATTTACTGTTATGTTTCAAGAACTAAAATGTCATAAACAGGAACATGATAACATTTACTGATCTGACTTTAGTACACGTGGGTTAGTATGGCAAAACAGACGTAGCGGTGTGATCCAAGATGTCTGTGGGACGATTCCATCCATGAATTGATATCACCGTTAGTCAAGGTGTCAGGCCTTGTGTGTGTGGAAGAGTTTGTTTAGTACTCTTATTGTTTTCCATATCAGTTTAGAATTTAGAACGTTTAAACTCGGATAGAATTTTTCGTTCTCGTTTTTTTTTTTCATTTTTTTTATTTTTAAAAGGTAGAGTTAGATGGTTACGGGGTTGACCTGGAACACACAAGTGATCAATATATTTTGGCGAAGAAGAATGAGAGTTTGATGGTTAGAGTGATTTTGCGTTGGATGTGTGAGTTGTTTCAGTGTTTTAATGGTTTATGTGAATTAGTTCAATGGTAGAGTTGAGTGGTTGAGTTCAATGGTAGGGCCTGATATCAGAATTGACATAGTCAATTACTGAACTATGTCACCGTCTCTGGTGGAACAATATTAACAAAATGGCGATTCTTGAGTGTATGTACGAGACATCGCAACAGAAACAAACCACTTTGTGATTGTTTTAAATCTGACTAGATTCATGATGTATAGAATCACACAAGAAAGCAATCGTCAATATCTTTCTGCTTTAGTTCTTGGGCTAATTGATTTTATATATTCTTGGTGACTGTGTAGATCTCGTACTTAAGACCAAGTGAATATATTGCATCGAACATGTTATACAGAACAGAACAGAATTTTATTTCAGTAACAGGCCCCCGGCCCAAACTACATATACATAAATTGATGATAAGTAGAGCACATATATATTTCATTTAGAACTGTGTTTCTTGTCAACAAAGTATAAAAATAGACATACATCCTTGATAATATTAACATTTTGACTCTGTTATATTGATATAAAATTAATAAGTGATGGACATTTACTAAAATATTTTGATATGTACTTATTTCTGATATGAGAATATGCATCACAGATATAAAACACATGCCATTCATCTTCAACAACGAAGATACCATTTAATTTACAAAACAGGCAATGTCTTTCATTATATGCAACATCAGTGTATCTGCCTGTTTCAACTGCTAGTTTAAAATTACAGCACCGAAATCGGGCATATATAGTTTTTAAATATTGAGGGATGTCATTATTTATCAAGTAGCTCTCAACATTTAGCAAAGATTTGAATTGCTTATAGTAAAGACATTTACGGTTACTGTCCAAAGATGAATGCCAAGATTGAAATAAATTATCACGTAGTCTCTGTTTAAATGATTCCATAAATATTTTGTAATAACCAATTTCCTGACTTATCCAAACAAATCCAAAGCCAAATTGAAAAAGAATATTTTTAATTCTAGTTGCCCATGATTTTCGTCCTACCCTGTCTAAAGATAATAGCATAAAATAACACTGTTTTGGTAATCTATAGTCAGGCATGTATAGAAGTCTGCACCAGTATTTCACTGCATTGGTTGTATAAGTAAACTGTAAAGGCACTCTTCCACATTCACCCAAGACCATATTAATACAGGTGGATTTCCCAAGTTTCAAGACATATTTACATAATTTAATATGGACAGATTCAATAGTATTACAGTAGGATGTGCCCCAGAGTTCAGACCCATAACAGAGAATGGGTGATATCATACAAGCAAAGATTTTAAATATGTTATGTTTAGATTTAATATTTGAAACCAACTAGATATACTGTACATAGATCTAATACAAAAATATCTACTGAAGATAATGTGTAGATCTAGTACTTAAAACATGACAGAACAAAAAGAACAACTGGATATAACTGGTCTTGTGCGTGTATTTATAAGTACAGGGTCTTGTAACACAAAAACTGGCATCAAAGTGCATCTAAGTTAGACCCGGCAGTGACAATATACACAAATGGTGTAAATGTTACAAGCCCAAAGCCTAAACTGCTCAGAATCCATAGATCTATTACTCAACAAACTGTATATGATGTTTAGAACTAGTATCTTGTCGTTTCTAAAACCCAATTGTTTTTCTTCAGCCTCGAGTGACGTTGAGGAGAGGGGAACCACCGCCACATTGAGAGAAGCTGATGGAAGTGTTGCACGGCAAGGAGGTGAGAGCAGTAGGCAGAACTGTGGTACTGGAATGTCACGCCAGTGTCAACACTTGTATCACAGAACAGGATAAGTTATTGTTTCACGTCAAGGAGGTGAGAGCAGTAGGCAGGACTGTGGTACTGGAATGTCACGCCAGTGTCAACACTTGTATCACAGATCAGGATAAGTTATTGTTTCACGTCAAGGAGGTGAGAGCAGTAGGCAGGACTGTGGTACTGGAATGTCACGCCAGTGTCAAAACTTGTATCACAGATCAGGATAAGTTATTGTTTCACGTCAAGGAGGTGAGAGCAGTAGGCAGGACTGTGGTACTGGAATGTCACGCCAGTGTCATTACTTGTATCACAGATCAGGATAAGTTATTGTTTCACGTCAAGGAGGTGAGAGCACTAGGTAGGACTGTGGTACTGGAATGTCACGCCAGTGTCAATACTTGTATCACAGATCAGGATAAGTTATTGTTCCACGTCAAGGAGGTGAGAGCAGTAGGCAGGACTGTGGTACTGGAATGTCACGCCAGTGTCAAAACTTGTATCACAGATCAGGATAAGTTATTGTTCCACGTCAAGGAGGTGAGAGCAGTAGGCAGGACTGTGGTACTGGAATGTCACGCCAGTGTCAAAACTTGTATCACAGATCAGGATAAGTTATTGTTTCACGTCAAGGAGGTGAGAGCAGTAGGCAGGACTGTGGTACTGGAATGTCACGCCAGTGTCAAAACTTGTATCACAGATCAGGATAAGTTATTGTTTCACGTCAAGGAGGTGAGAGCAGTAGGCAGGACTGTGGTACTGGAATGTCACGCCAGTGTCAACACTTGGATCACAGATCAGGATAAGTTATTGTTCCACGTCAAGGAGGTGAGAGCAGTAGGCAGGACTGTGGTACTGGAATGTCACGCCAGTGTCAAAACTTGTATCACAGATCAGGATAAGTTATTGTTTCACGTCAAGGAGGTGAGAGCAGTAGGCAGGACTGTGGTACTGGAATGTCACGCCAGTGCCAAGAGTTGTATCACAGATCGGGCATAAGTTATTTATCAGTTAACTAAAGCACGTGTACGTGACATATGTTTCTAATTGAATATTTTTCATATCGACCAAAATAGATAAATGGAAGTGGAATCATGTCAGCAACACAGTTAGTGACCTCCCATAGTCTCAACACTGTTCGCTGGCCACATTACTAATCTCGTCAAACTCCCCAAACAGACTCCACCCGGAAGACGCCGTACTGGCCTCGAAAGTGACTGACAAAAACATACTCTGACCTCTGATCTCAATTCCTGTGAGACATTCTTCAAGGGACTGAAGTTTGATACAAGAGTTGAAATCAGATGACACGGGATCATCGTTGTTGCCGTCATCAAAGTTGCACGAACTCCACAGAACTGTAATAAGAATGTTTGTTAAACAACCCGAGGAAACTTTACTCTCAAGTCATGAATATGCCAACAAGGAGTTAACAAGTAGCATATTGTGGTTCTCATATCGCTATGGACATTATGTTAGTAATATACCGACCAGTTTCTGATATTCATTTTGATGTACATATTTGTTACAAGGGGACCAGTAGTGTAAAAACCATATATAAGTATTGTAATGACAGACAGTGAATGTACTGTGTAGATCTGCAAGTGAATATGTTGAATATACCTTGTACTAAAACTGAATATGTTTTCTGAAACACAGAGTTTGAAATATGTATTCATTCCCAAGATTAGCACTATTCTAGACTTAGATCTGCACTAAATGTCACAGTGACATCACGTGTAAAATCTACAAACATTCCTTTATTGTATTGATGGACAGTGGCAGTTTGTGTACAGAGTACAAGTATTTCATTATTGTATTGATGGACAATGACAGTTTGTGTACAGAGTACAAGTATTTCATTATTGTATTGATGGACAATGACAGTTTGTGTACAGAGTACAAGTATTTCATTATTGTATTGATGGACAGTGACAGTTTGTGTACAGAGTACAAGTATTTCATTATTGTATTGAAGGAAAATGACAGTTTGTGTACAGAGTACAAGTATTTCATTATTGTATTGATGGACAATGACAGTTTGTGTACAGAGTACAAGTATTTCATTTCATTATTGTATTGAAGGACAATGACAGTTTGTGTACAGAGTACAAGTATTTCATTATTGTATTGAAGGACAATGACAGTTTGTGTACAGAGTACAAGTATTTCATTATTGTATTGATGGACAGTGACAGTTTGTGTACAGAGTACAAGTATTTCATTATTGTATTGATGGACAATGACAGTTTGTGTACAGAGTACAAGTATTTCATTATTGTATTGATGGACAGTGACAGTTTGTGTACAGAGTACAAGTATTTCATTATTGTATTGATGGACAGTGACAGTTTGTGTACAGAGTACAAGTATTTCATTATTGTATTGATGGACAGTGACAGTTTGTGTACAGAGTACAAGTATTTCATTATTGTATTGATGGACAATGACAGTTTGTGTACAGAGTACAAGTATTTCATTATTGTATTGATGGACAATGACAGTTTGTGTACAGAGTACAAGTATTTCATTATTGTATTGATGGACAATGACAGTTTGTGTACAGAGTACAAGTATTTCATTATTGTATTGATGGACAATGACAGTTTGTGTACAGAGTACAAGTATTTCATTATTGTATTGATGGACAGTGACAGTTTGTGTACAATGTACAAGTTTCTTACAGTGACACAGAAAGCCTCCCGCAACAACCCCCAACGTTCCCTCGACCTGTATGCCGCCTGCTGTGCTGGGGACCTGGACGTGGTGAAGAGCATCCTGGATCTGCGTCAGGCGGACGTCAACGTGAGAGGACGGAGGAGGAGCAGGACACCGCTGATGGAGGCAGCAAGACGTGGACACAAAGATGTGGTGGAGCTCCTTGTGAGGGATGGAGCTGATGTGTCACTGAGGGATGATGTTGATGACAGCTTTCTTCACTTGGCCTGCCAGGGGGGAGATTATGGGACGGTGAAGGTGATCCTGTCCCTGAACTTGATGGACATCAACTGTAGAGGAGGAGGGAGCAGGACCCCGTTGATGGAGGCAGCGAGGCGTGGACACGGAGATGTCGTTGAGCTCCTTGTGATGGAAGGAGCTGATGTGTCACTGGTGGACGATGCCGGTAACAACATCCTCCACGTAGCCTGTGGTGGAGGAGACGTGGGGGTAGTGGAGTTTGTCTTGTCTCTGAATGTGGTGGACATCAACAGTAGGAATGACCACCGGCAGACAGCGGCCGGAGTGGCGAGAGATGAAGGACATAGACAAGTGGTGGATGTCCTGGTGTCACATGGTGCCCGCTGATGTCACTGTAGTTTTGGTGTAGAACATGTTGCTGCTAACACTGATGTGGTGTGTACCGTTAACGTCACCGAGTTTTCAACGAGCGGCCCAGGTGAGAATTATTGTTGTGGTTGGTGAGAAATAAAGCTTCTTGAGAACGTTTCATTTTCTTTTCTATTTGAATCTTAGCATGATCGGGTACGAATATCGTTAATTGGGTGTAAATATAGATGCTGTGTAGTTAGTATAAACTTTCATCACTGACTTCACCTGAAAGTATGAAACATGTGAGAGTTATGATAATTATTTTACAAACAGAAATCATTGTCCAATAAATTGACTTAAATTCATTGTAATGCCGGCCCTGCACTTGCCGCAATTCACCACGAAAGAGTCAAGCCGTCAAAAATTCCAGTGTTCAGTGTGACCACCCTGGGCATCCATAAACTCCAGCACACATCCACTCATTGACGCCGTCAGTCTACGGATGACGTCAGCACGAATCCTGTTCAATACGTCTTAAGAGAGTCTGTTCAAGTTCCTGTCGGCTCGCTGGGGGATGGTACACGTTGTCTCAGCTGACGATCAAGATGGTCCTAACGATGTTCAATGGGTTTGTTAGTCTGGAGAACGCGCTGGCCATGGCAATACGTTGGTATTTTTGAACAATTCTGGCAGTGACATGAGACCCTGATGCAAAATGACTCCTGTTGTCTGGTGTCCAATAACAAGAGGTCTCAACTCTTCATCCCTGAATCGCTGGGCATTCAGATTTCCTCGGATGATAACCACTCTGAACCGACTGAACCGACTTCATCTGTATAAAGCTCTCTCTCCAAGTCGCACAGTTCGTGTCCATTGGATCTACGGTGTAGACGGGTCTGGGCGATGAAATGTTAAGCGCGTTGTGAATTCCCTTTTGGCCATACCGATCACCCTGTCTCGTTACGCTAGCGTAAATCTTGGCATATTCGTGGTGGTTTTGGTTAATGCATGCATTCTCTGTCCAACATCGGTATATGTGCCACAATCATGCACGTGCATTTGGACCAGTGTCTCACAATTACTGTTTTCACCTTCGAAAAATGCACGCTTCACACGAAGCTTCCAGACAGATGCATTCAGATGCATTATTATCGGGACCATGTTGCATTTGCTGCTTGGGTTCAAACCTGTACCAACGCATTTTTTGTTTATTCTGAGCACACATGTATTTTGTGGAAAACCTCAATTCATAAACCATCAACAGTTGCTTATTGAAATCCCACTCCAGAAACAAAACGGGATTCCAGGATGCACGTGGACAAAACCTTAATTGTTTGATCGGCATTCTAGAAGTTGGTGAGTCAAAAATGAAGCATAAAACGTTATGGATGACAATTTCTTGTTTCTTGCTAGAGTTACGTTTCGTCGTAGATTCTTACACCCTTATCAAGTGACTACGACCGATGATGAAGATGATTTAACGTGCGCTTTACAGAACTCAACCAAGTGATGAGAAGTCTATATACATATTCTGTTATGACAATTGAATCACAAGTTGGGGACTAAAAAAACCAAATAACATAGGTGATGAAGCCAATAAACAGGGGGGATTAAGTAGAAAATAATCTGACATGGAGCTTTGATATACGCTTGGTAAACGTGACATATCAAATAATGACACATATAAGGCCAGTATATTAACTGAGGAAGAAATCTGCCTAAACCATTCAACGGTGCTGTCAACGTTCGGCTTGACTCTTAAACCTGAAGACATATCTGTTCCTCTTTTGTACTCTTTTTCACTTTCGGGACAATTTGCCAAAAATGAATCCAAATATCATTTGAGGTCTACCGACAAAAAAATATGTGAAGTGCCGGACTTTCTCATTGATTGCATCTTTGTGAAATTTTGGGGTAAAACATTTCTCCAAGAAATAGGCATCCCTATATTCACCAATTTTGCTCCCCGTGCAGAAGTGTTTCTTTATGCGTAGGAATTAGAATTTCAGCTTGGGTTGGCAAAATCAAAACAAGATAACTTGCCCAAAAAGTAAAACTTAAGCCTCAGGTATATTGATAACTAGATATCGTTCAATAACTACAAACAGCCAATAGCCATGCACTGAGTTGCCCACTTGAATCTGAGACTAAGGAGACATGTGAGACCGC